CCTGTTCAACATGACGGAGATGCGCTGAAGCCTTAAACACATGTATGTGAATCCTGCCATACTCATGGTATGTTTTCCTCTTAGGTTATATCATCCCAAGTCACGTGACAGAGGAGATGCTGTGGGAGTGTAAACAGCTTGGCGCACATTCACCTTCCACATTGCTCACAACTCTAATGTATTTCAACACTAAGTGAGTAACCATTGAATGGCCCTTAGTCTTTTATCCTCTCTCTAATCACTCAGAGTCAAATACCGAATATGGTACAATGTCATATTTGTTGCAGGTATTTCCGCTTGATAACACCTGAACAGCACATGAAAGTAGCTTTCTCTAAAGTCTTAAGACACTCAAGGAAGAACCCAACTAACGCCAAGGACAAAGCAACCAGTATTCGCCTTCTCAAAGGGCAAGGCCTACACAGTGCTGGACAAAAAGGTACTCTCTTGCTCAGGTCGTGATTAGCTCAGTGTTGGATAGCAGAAATGCCCGTTGTTGACCTGTTGCTGTGTACTGCATCATTTAGGAACCGATGACATGTATGAAGAGCAGATCGAGGATCCTGCAAATCCCCTTCGTTGTCCCATCAAACTTTATGACTTTTACCTCTTCAAATGGTGAGAAGCACTTCAGCTTAGTCGGATTTATGTGATGATTACTCTTCAGTTTACACCCCCAGACACATGCTTAACTTTCTTTTCCAGCCCACAGAGCGTTAAAGGACGTAACGATGCGTACTACATGACTCCAGAGCCTGTCGTTGCACCAAACAGCCCGATGTGGTACTCCTCTCAGCCCCTCACAATTCAGCAGGTGGAACAAATGCTGTCTCGCATCATCGTGGTCAGAGAGATCCAGGAGATCATCGGTGTTGTTCCAGAAAATGTGAGCTAGATTGAGGACTTGGCTCACAGGAACTTGTTCTCCAGATTGTTGACTATGCAGTATCCATCCTGACTATTATCATCGATGGCCATTAAAATAAAGTGGAACAACTTCTGAGGAGAGTATCATGATTATGCTCATCAGATCCATAAATTCTTCTCTTCTTATTATCTCTGTTTTTGACTGGTGGGTTGGACTTCTCGTTCTCTTGGCTGCCTTTGTAAGATATCACCTCTGTAACTTTTGAACCGGCAAGTGAGCAAGACTTTAGTCTCTTCTCAGCTGGGCAGAGATGATACACGTTCCTGTACAAAGTCAGTCTTATAAATGACTAAACAACTGTAATCTTTTCTTTCTTAACCCTCTAGTACCACTAGAAATAATCTTAAGACAGTTACAGGGACCAGTGCTCACAACTTTTTTTAAAAATACATTTTGGACCATGTATGATAAGTTTAAATCTGAAATACTTGTGCCTGTTTTTTTCCAAAACATAATTACATGATATTGCTTGTGGAATAAGTTAAAACTCAATCATTCACATGGTTAAGTGCTACAGATCGGTGACAAATTGAAGGCAAAACCAGTGTGTTTCAGTAATTTGGTTGGTTGCCTGTGCTGTGCTGCCTCTTTAACTCAGCTGTAGTGAAGGACACAATTTTTCTTTATCTAGAAGATATCCTCTAAATGGGTATTTTAACCATGTTAGTGGCCATGTTGGCCCAAACTCCCCCACAAGGCACTTTTTAAGATCCGGTGACTACAGAGGTCAAAGCCTGATTCATAATTTCATAGCTCAAGTATTTCAACCCCCTCCTGCATCCTGGGAGATGCCACTCGCGTCAAAACTGAAGCATTTTAACATAGGATTAATGTGAGCTGAGACGTACTCCCTCCTTAGCATAACAGAGCCACCATATACTGTTGGATTTTTTTTTCCTTTAATTTGTCACCTATATCTGTATATTGTAGTCATTCAGGAGATTTTTCTCAGGATAAAACTAACATCTGAAACACCCATCAAGGATTTTTGCCAACGTATTCCTTCATGTATGTGTGTATAGTAGGTTATTAAACAATATATGCAGATGGAATCTTTGTATTAAGGGTCATGTCAAGCTGAAACATAATGATTACTGTCTTCTAAAAAGAAAAAGTGAGCTGTGGGTCTTTTTAATAATGACGCATTTGAATGGTTCTTATTCAGTTCCATAGCATCAGTTTTTTCATAATTAACACATTCTGTTCCACATCTGTCCACTATCACACGTATCAGCGCTGTAGTTACACATCCTGGTGTTCTATTCCACATTTAAATTACATTCCTGTCACAACCAGACAGGGTTGGACTGTTAAACGCTGAACAAAGTAAGGAGATGATCACGTTTGTTTTTCATCTGGGAGCGTTATATGCAGTCGGCCCAGTGTTTGAGTGAAGTATTTCGGTAGGGGGCAGGACACGTTGACGTCAGCTTGGCTGCTTCCTGGCAGCGTCAGCTGTCGTGCATGTAAATGAAGGGGAAGGTGCCGAACCTTGCTCTGTTCAATCCCAAGTTTTCCCAACACACGTTCTGGTAATTTCTGTGGAAGGAAATGTATTATTTAGTCATTAATTGTGACAAAATAGAAATCAAATTCTTATACGTGTTAAAAAAGAGACTGATCATCAGCCTACCCAACTGAGGGTCAAAGCCATGACTGTAAATGTGCACAATAAAACATAGTCAAAGAGCGATGAGAGGTGCAGTCAGAAAGCCTCTCAACCCAGTGTTATAGTTAAAATTACAATTAAGTAGCACAAACAACCACTATGGATATTCTCAATGTCCTTCAAAGTTTTTAAAAAGTGACTATGGTTAAAAAGCATATGTACCAACATGTCAGCAGCTAACAGTGATTAAGATGTGGATCCTTATTCACTATTCTATATTTCTTCTTGCTTCATCCTGTTCTCTGTGGGACTGTAAACATCTTACCTGTGGTGCCAGTTTGCTCCAGTGGGAATATTTGTGGTCACCAAGAATGGGACACCCAAGAGCAAAGGCCATATGAACCCTCATCTGGTGCTTCGCTCCTGTGAACACAATGAAGCAGAAAAATACTGAACATGTGCCCAGGCAGGTTTTTGGGATGATTTCCTTTTGTTCACATGTGCACTGTTACCTGTAAAAGGCTGGAGCTCCACAAGGCTGCAACCACTGCTGCTGTCCAGGACTCTGTACTTGGTCACTGCTGGATGAGCTTGGCGATGACTTCGGACTTTGGTTACACCATCACCTTCATCGTTCAGTCTGTAAAGAGGACTCAGAGCCATCTGAAATCAAAGAAGTTGTTATGAGACTGGAAAATGCACAGCATTATTTAAACAATAACTAGTAATTTACTCAAATGCCCTGGACAACAAACCCAAACTAATTTGTGTCATAAACATACTAACTACTAAGCCAAAAGCCGTACATACAAGGATGTTTAAAGCAATGATCATACAGAATAAGAGGCACCTTGTAGTGTGGCTGAGGACCTGTGACCTCTCTCTCTATGATGGGAATATCAATCAGACCTTCAGATGGCACAGGAACACCAACCGTGATAACCCTGAAAAGGAACAACATAACTAACATGCAGTGGAAGCATTAGCATGTACATTATTTAATTAATCCTTATCAGTTTCCCCTACTCACCAGTACTTCCTCTCCACTTTGTTATTTCTATTCAGAGCGAGTACGTGCTCCACCACTTCATCCCTCCTGGCCAGCAGGAGAGTTCCTGTTGAGTCCTTTTCTAGACCCAGACAGGGAATGAGCTGAGAATCAGACTTCATCTTCATCCCATCCATCATTTTGGAGAGAACAGGAAGCACAGAGGTGATGGATGTGACGTTGGAGTCATCTGGGAGACAGCAGCAACATTACATTTGTGGTGCCAGTTAGACATCCCAGCTTCAGTGTGATAGCTGACATTTTTTATGCTCATTCCAGCTGTTCTCAGTAATGATACTGCATGTCTCCTAACAATAACAACAACAATAATAATAATAACAACAATACTGAGCCTGTTTAAGAACACCTTAATATGTACCACAATAAAATATGCTCTCACCACATAATTTTTCATACACGTTTAACTGTTCATTAATACAAATATCTAATTAGATAATTACATTAATTTAGCATGCAGGCATCAATAATGGTCAATAGTTCAGAGCCATGATCAGAATGGGAAATAAAGGTGATTTAAAAGACTAAATGTGGCATGGCTCTTGGTGTCAGACAGGCAGGTTTGAGTATTTTATAAAGTTCCCCAATCATCTTTCAGGTTCACACAGAACAGTACAAATGGATGATGTCAGATGATGTTTTATTGACACACTCTGTGCCCTTTAGTACCATTTAAACACCACAGTCTACCTGAATATTGTTGCTGACCATGTCCATTGTAAAACACCATGTTACAAAGATCTCACATTGTTTTTTTGAACATTACAATGAGTTGATTTTTATTTTTATTTCAAACTGAAAATAAAAACTTTTTCAAACTTCTTGTCAGTGTAGATTAAAGAAGACAGCCCAGTGTTGGTTTACCTGCCACAGGGACACCGTAGGGTTTGTTGACGATCACTACATCCTTGTCCTGGTACAGCACGCTTCTGTGAAGGTGTTTGGCGAGCACGTTGGGGTGCACATTTTGTAACTGTACACTGAACCGTTTCAGCTCCATCACCCTCCTCTGCTGGGCAGACATGGGAGGCGCTGTCTCTCGGGTCTTCGACTTCTCTCCTCGGATCTTACGGGCCAGGTCAACGGCTCTAAGACGGGGTTTGTCATCTTCGTCGGAGCCTGGAGTGTGATTGGCAGCGGTGCTCTGAGCCCGGGCGAGGGGCGGTGTTGTCTGCGGACACTGGCGGCAGGTTGTCCGGGGTTTGACCCGACACAAGAGCACATTCAGGCCGGAGCTCCGCTCAAACGCACGCGCTAGTCTCCCACAGCTGTTCATCACGGTACTGAATGAACCTCACAGACCAGACACGAGCTTCAAAACACAAGCATGAACTCTGAAGCTATTAAAGAATTTCCGGGCCAAGCCTTTCAGAATAAAAGCATAATTTCATCCAATCATTCAAATTAAAATAATTCCGACATATTAGACAATATATAGATAAAACCAAACGACAAACGATATAACTATCCGTTTAAATGCTCTTAAACATAACAAATACACACTGCGTAAATGTAACAAAGGATTCCGGTAATTTCCGCCTTTCTCTCAACGGGTGTATTTGTTACCTACGCTTACACGGCCCGCCAGGTCACAACTGCAAAATATTATAGCTTCTGGAAAGCACCGCCCGCCTGGTAGATGAATAAAACTCATAATTTCCGGTTGTTACAAAGTTGCATGTTGTCTGCTGTGGATTTTTGTTGTCATAATGCAAATACAAGCACCTTAGTGATCTAATGGACAGCAGATGCGCATAGCTCAACCAAACCGAAATAATTACCAGGCTTCATTAAATCTTAAACAGGAAGCTGATGGAGTGTTTTTTCTCCTAACGAATGCTTTCTTGGTAAAAGCCTGCAGCTATGAAGATCACAGACGGTGTATTACGAAGTTTCAGAGTGGCCAGGACTCATCGGAAAAACGAAGAGAAGGTCAACTGCGTGGACTACAGCCCAAATGGTGAAAATGTGATAACAAGCAGCGACGATGACCGCATACTGCTGTATGACATGCGAGATGGAAAGTAAGTGGCAGCCACTGTAGACAGTATACTGTATATGATAAATAAGATCATTAATGTGACTGCATTGTGTTATTATGTTGTCCTTGTGCTTTTCTCAGGTGCAAAAGCAACGTCTTCAGCAAAAAGTATGGAGTAGACCTCATCCGCTACACGCATGGAGACACAAATACAGTGATCTACAGCTCCAACAAACTGGATGGTAAACACTTGACGCCATGCACAGCAATGCGAATACAGTTAGTGGTCCATTTTGGAAAATGAAATATATTTTGGGATATTTTTCAGATACCATCAGATACCTTTCGCTCACTGACAACAAGTACATCCGATATTTCCCAGGTCACACTAAGAGGTGCGTAAAGCAAACACACAACCTTAATCAACCACAACTGTAAACATGTAGACTGGTATTCAGTGAAAGCAGACAGTTATATAGTATGCACCGTATATAAATACATGCCTACTAAGTAAATGGACATGCTTTTATTTACTGTAACCAGACTAAATAGAATAAAATGTAGTTCAGTGGAATTCTCATTTTCTACCTTTCTGGAGCTTTCTCCAGTGTGCTCATAAAAATACAGAAATATACACTCAGTGGTGACTTTATTAGCTAAACCTGTTGAATTGGATTTTAGTGGAAATATCTAATCAGCCAGTGTCATGGCAGCAACTCAGTACATTTAGGCATGGTGAAGGTGATGTGCTGAATTTCAAACTGAGCATCACGATGGGGAACAAAGGTAATTTCAGTGACTTTAATGTGGCATGGTTGCTGGTGCCAAACAGGCTGGTCTGAGTACTTCTGATACTGCTGATCTGCTGGGATGTTCCCACACAACCAACTCCAAGATTTACAGAAAATGATCTGAAAAAGAAAAAAATTCCAGTAAGCAGCATTTCTCTGGGTGAAAATTCCTCATTGGTGACAGAGGAGAATAGTCAGACTGCTTTGATCTGAAAGGAGAGAAATAGTAACTCAAATAACCACTTGTTATAACCAAGTTATGCAGAAGAGCATCTCTGAATGCTCTCCAGACATTTCTGTAGCAGATGTGCTAAAGCAGCACAAGATCACACCGGGTGCCACTCCTGTCTGCTAAGAACAATAAACAGTAGTTACGGTTTATATCCCTAAAATTAGACAACAGAAGAAAAACATTGCCTGATTGAATGATTCTCAATTTCTCCTGCAAGTTTGAGATGTTAGGATCAAAATTTGGATGAGACAAAGCATTGCACTCAAATGGCCTCCAGAGTCACAGATTTCAGTCCAACAGAGCACTTTTGGATTGCAGAGGAATTCAGATTCTCATTGTGGATGTGCATATAGTGTGCATTCCTGAAAAGCTTGTTCCTGCCTGTCTTTCCTTAAAGTAATTTTACATTCAATAAAACATTAGCTCAATCCTGATCAGTTAAAACCAATTTGTTTGGGTTTCAGGGTTACTGCTCTCTCCATGTCTCCGGTGGATAACACATTTATCTCTGGGTCACTGGACAAGACTATCCGGATCTGGGACCTCCACTGTCAAAACTCTCAAGTAAGTAGTTTGTCACTTGATTGGAAATTTCCATTTCTTCTGCCATTTGTACACATTTACAAATGTGTAATAACAGCTACAGCAGTAGAATAGTGTGCTTTACATTGTGACACAAAATACTGCCTATTAAAGTGCTGTTGATTAGTAGTCCCTGAGTAGTCTTGACCACCAGAGGTCTCCAAATCTCTCTTGGATCTGCTCAGACATAATAAATCTATGGGCAATACCAGACACACAACCTTGCAAAAATATAAGGAGTAAATAAACACCAAATGGAAATAAACACATAAATATGAAAACATGTGATGCAGAAAGTGGTCATTATTGAGGATTCTTTTGCATATTTCTTGAAAGTTAACAGTTTATGTTGCACAATCTCTCTGATTTTCAGGGTTTGATAAATCCACTGGGGACACCTCTGTGTTCGTTTGACCCCGATGGGCTGATATTAGCTGCAGGAGTGGATTCAAAGACAGTTAAACTCTACGACTTTCGTGCTTTTGACAAGGTACAGCTGGGTTTTCTGTTTGTGTTCACATGCATTCTTTCCAAAAGCCTTAAATGAAATTCTTAATTATCTGAAAATCTTTCCGTTGAAGGGCCCGTTTGCCTGTTTTGAAACAAGGTTTAATCGCGTTTGTGACTGGACTGGACTCAAATTCAGTAGTGATGGGAAGCAGATCCTCATATCTACAAATAAAGGGATTATTGGAGTCTTGAATGCTTTCAATGGATCTGTGCTGCACACTTTTTCCGTAAGAGACATATTGGAACAAAAATACAGAATTGCATCTGTTTTTATGTTAATATAATTATTTTCAGATTACATGCTGAAGCCATCCCTGTCTTTCCTCATTTTAAGGGCTACAACAACAGTAAAGGCATCTCACTGGAGGCCTGCTTTACACCTGACTCGCAGTTTGTCATGATTGGTAAGCTAAAAAAAACCTCAAACTTTAGATCTGAGCCTTTTCCTTTAAGCTTCCTGTTAATACTCTGGTTTTTCCAGGCTCAGAAGACGGGAGAGTTCACGTTTGGAGCACAGAGAGTGGAATGAAAGTGGCCGTGCTGGATGGGAAGCATCCAGGACCCATCAGTGCGCTCCAGTTCAACCCCAGATTCATGACGTTTGTTAGTGCCTGCTCTAACACGGTGAGCGCAAGCCTATCTTACCAGTGTGTCATTGATCTCCTGCTGGAAAAACTGCTTATTGTTCTCATTTTGACTTTTTAAAAATTATTTTCTCAACAGACTTTTTGGCTCCCGTGTGTTGATGACTTGTAAAGGCACCAAAGGTCACCATCATGGAGTGAAGTTGGACCCTCCTTTACAAACATCGTGACCAAGGAATATTTTGGAAAAATGTTATGTTGTTTCTGCCTTTTTAAAAAAAAGATGTTTCATTAGCTTTTATTAGCCTGTGTTTTTTTAAATAATAATTGTGCTTTTATTGATGGTTTTATAATAAAAAATCTTGTTTTTTAAACGTTGTCCCTCATCCTTCCTCAAGCGTTTGCTAGGAATTATCTGAATTCCAACAAGTGCTTTTATTATTATTTTTTTCCTTTGTATTAACCAACAATATTAGAAGTATAAATGTAAACTGACAAACACTAACAAGTGAGAGTTTTCTGTGTGTGTGTGTGTCCAAATCCTGTTCTTCTTTACCCTAGCGCAAAACAACAAGGTGCTGGAAACATTTCTTAGAGATTCTGGTCCATATTGACATGAAGACACAGACGTTGGATATCAGTTGGAGATGGTTTACGCTTCGTGTCACGGCACATTATCCTGCTTGAAGTAGCCATCTGAAGACCACTACACTGTGGTGATAAAGAGATGGACGTGGTCAGAAATGAATGATGATGCAAGTACCAGTCTACTTCCTCAGCCTGTCTGACCGATTCGGATGCTCGGTTTCATTATGTAGATGATGTGAATGCCTGGAATAACTGTTATATGATTGGCTGATTAGATATTTGAATGACTTAGCAGTTAAACATAAATGTAGGCCCCTCACACATGTGTAGCTCTAACTGATCCATTTCCAGTTTTCAGACTTTTTCCATTTGTCACACCCCTAAAAGGATCAGTCAACACTAATGCACGACTCTCTTCATAAAATAGAGGTAAATGACTGAAGTGAGACTTTGCTTAAGTTTTATGTTTCAGTTACGGTGAACTATTCTTGAACTCTGTTATCTAACTCAAACCTGTCGCCTCATCTAAATACAGGGAGTCATGCTAAACAAAGCTCAGTTTAAGTTATCCAGCTTTTCTTAAATAAAGAAGCTTTTCTTAAGCTAAATGGTGATTTACATCTTAACAACATTCAAATTAAATAATGCTCTGAATCACACTGAATTTATTTGCATATTTATTATATAATTTGCCCCGTCGGAGGAAGATGGGGCTATTCTTGTCAAGGCTCAACTGAAGAAGCAGCACAGTCGTTCTTCCAGAATAACCCGAACCGCTTTCTCTTCTTTCTCAGACTTTTCTCATTTCCTGTAGATTTTTGTTCTGAACTCTGAGGTCTGTCATCTCTGTTCTTATCTTCTGTTTCTTGAACCTTTTCTCTCTTTTAGTGTTTCCTGCTTTTCTTCACGTTTTTCTTCCAGTTCTTTGTTTGCCTCATGCATGTGTTTCTTTGTTGTTCTTTATGATGGGTTGCTTGTAACTCTTCATGTCTCTTCTGTAGTAATTGAAATGAAGACTGTATGTCTTTATGACTTTTCTCCTGTCGTTGCTTCTGCTCCTGCTTTTTGGTGTTGGCTTACTGGACTTTGTTATAGAGTGCTTGTAAATGGCTGTTTTTGGTCACCACTTCTTGGATTCGTCACTCTATATCTCTGCATATTTTCTCAAGTTCAATTTTATTTCCTTCACTTCATTGTAAAATACTTGTAATTCTGTATTTTGTGTTTCAAAGTCTTGGAGAATGTGCTGTGTGTTAACTCAAAAGACACGACGTCGTACTCTCATACACAGCGCTTTATTCGTTCTCCCATTTCACGTACGAACAACAACATTACTTTTCGCGGGCAACAGTACTCTCGCGATAAAACAGAAAATAACAAGTTAACACTGTGTCTCTCTTTGGGTTTCTTTCAGTTGTTCCTTCTCTTTTAGCAGGTGTGAATTTTCTTTGAGCACTCTATCAATCATTTTTTGCAATGTTTCCATTTTTTCCTCTGTGTCTTCGAGTTTGCACTGCATCTGTTGGTGACCTGCCTCCTGTTCTTCCTTGTCTTTGAGCGTTCGTGTGTTTCTTCTCAATGCTTCATCAGACGTCACTTGGAGGCTTTCATTTTTCTTTGTGTCTTGGAGCTTGCACTACATCTCTATGTATTTTTCTTCTGTGTCATAGACCTTGTAAAAACTTTCTCTATGTTTGATTTTCCATTTTTTAAACTCTTTCTCCAGTTGTGTATTTCTTTCAACTGCTTCATCAAACATTACTCGCAAGCCTTCATTATTTTCCTCCATATCTTGGAGCCTGCAATGCATTTCACTGTTCTTCTCTTCCAGTTGACTTTTCTCCTCCTGCATTTCTGTGATCCTGTTCTCAAGGTCTTGTTTTTCCTTGTTCCAATTATTAAAATCTCTTTTGAGGGCTGGAAATTCACTCAAGGAGGAGTGATGAGGTGTTCCATTTGTCTTGGGTGACGTTGTCTCTGAGACAGTTTGGTACCTTGATGCAACGACTCTGTGGTTTTCTATTTTATTTTACTTTATGTAGGTACAAGAATTAACAGTAAAGTTTCAATCTCTATTTTATCTTTATCTATACCTTTATCTAAGAATTGTCATTATTTTTATATTTTTATTTTCATTATTTTCATATTGTTACAACAGAAACAATAGGAACAGAAGCATGCAGCTCGTACACAAGCATTTCACTACATGTTGTCCTCTGTATGATTGTGTATGTGACAAATGAAGGTTGTTTGTTTTGCTGAAACAATAATGGAAATAGATATTTGTTTTATAATATATAAATATTGGTACTGTTTGTTGGGGACTTTTTTAAATGAGTATATTTATTGTTAATGAGGGGTGGCTGTAGCTCAGGTGGCAGAGCAGGTCAGCCACTAATCAGAAGGTCGGTGGTTCAATCCCAGGCTGCCTCCTGGCTGCATGCCAAATATCCTTGGGCAAGATACTAACCCCGTGTTTGCCTACTGGTGGTGGTCAGAGGGCCCGGTGGCGCCAGTGTCCGGCAGCCTCGCCTCTGTCAGTGCGCCCCAGGGCAGCTGTGGCTACAATGTAGCTTGCCATTGCCAGTGTGTGAATGTGTGTGTGAATGGGTGAATGACTGAATGTAGTGTAAAGCGCTTTGGGGTCCTTAGTGACTGAGTAAAGCGCTATACAAATGCAGGCCATTTACCAATGTATTTTATTATTTAATAACACACACACACAAATTCTAAGCTAACTTGTTATTTAAACACAAAGAAGCAAGTTTCCCTTTTCAGCAGCCACCTTGTGACCCATGTTAATGATTGGTTGCATATTTATTTTTAGGGATCATCACATTATAGAAATGGCAAAATGTAGAATGTCGTTCATGGCTTTTTGCTCTGCTTGTGTTAAAGTGGTTCCTGTGGTTTTCCTGTGACGTTCCTTAAACTGGAACATCAACCTTTACAAAGTCAGACTTTCACATGTGTTCTGTACAGTCACATTAATCCTCTTCATCATGGCTGAACACCTTCTGTTAGTCATCCTCATGTGTAAGTTAAACCTCCAGTAGCTTTTCGCTTGAAGATGTTGAATCTGTAGGTTTTACATTTTTCATGGTTGGGGATTTTAAGTTGTGTTCTTATATCAACTTTTTTTGTGTCTTTGTGGTGCTTCTATTTTTTATTTTTAATCAATAAACTCACGTGAGGAGTCCCAAACTAAAACTTTCTCAGCAGGACAAATTCCTGTGATCTTGAAAAGACAGTTTGTTTGTATTAATGAGCCATTAATACATAATTATAATAATGGTTATTAATACGTGCATTTAGTATGTTGTTAACAGACTTTCTTTCCAACAGCTTTTTTTCATGAGATTCAAGCACAAGGTGAGTCCCTGATGTTCCAGTGTTCAGATTTTTCTGTGACTTCATATTTGTTCTTTACTTAAACCAAAAATTACCTATTAGATCAAAAATTTCTTTACCTCTAATTTTTCAGCTCTTCTTCCACCAACACTGACAGTGAACACAGCAGTGAACACAGCAGTGATCTCAGAGACGGACTCGGTCACGTTACACTGTCAGGCACCAACATCTGTTTCAGTTCATCAGTGTTTTTTCTACACGGTGAGCAAAAATACTTCCAAAGCCTTCTCATGCCTGCACAATTTCACTGCAACAGAACTGCTGTTAATGTCACATCACAGTTCACTTGCTGAAGTTAAAGTGAGATGTTTTTACACTGAAGACCTTAATTCAACGTCTGCTGACAGTGAACCATCCTCCATCACCATACAAGGTGAGAGACTGCTCTTCCTGTGACTGGATAAGTTATCATACAGTGTGTTAGACATATTTATCTTTATAAAGCTTCATGTTTTCTTTCACAAAACTTTTTTAGGAGTGTTGTTCTTACACATTTTCTTACACCACCAAAGACAGCACACAGAAATCTAAACACGACCAGTTACAGTTAATTACAAAATGTGTTGCAGTTCACCTTTTATGAACACCAGTATTGTTATTGTTGTGCTGGTAAAACATACAATATTCTTGTATATTAATGGGACTTGATTAATCTTCATGTAGGTCAAACACCACAGATGAGTGTGCAGCATTTTAATGGGAAACATGTTCGGTTTGTTTGCTCTCTGCCTGGATCTGTGAAAGATGATACGAGATGTAATCTGTACTTTGGAGAAGCAAGTCGTTCGGTCCTCACAGCAACTGTCTGGAAGAAAAGCAAGACAAAAACTAAACAGAGGTTCTGCCAGTTTTATGTCTCAATTGATGATTTTTTGAGACATCTACATTATGTTCAACAAAAAGATGCCAGCTGTGATTACACTTTGACAAGGAAACCCAGGTCTTTGTCTCCTCGCAGTGATAGATACAACTTAACAGGTAAGTCAAAGATAAACAGACTTTATAGCACAGATGCTACTTTAATTAATTAAAATGATGAAAATGACTAAAATAAAAGCATTCAAAGTATTTTTCTCTAAAAATGTTCTGCGGTTGTTACTCCCAAGATTTTCATTTTGTTTCACTTTGTTTAGTTGGACCCTCAGTGCAAATAAATAGAACTGAGCTTTGATGTGAAAAAGAGTACGTCCAGACTGGCTTTGATAATATTGTCAGCATTGTCAACATGCTCACAGTAGAAGTGGGTAAAAGTTTTTACACTGGATACTCTTCCTAACACAAAATATTTGTTTTAATACATAGATATAAAAATATGAATATGTACTGAT